ACACACACACACACACCACCACTGGGCGTGTGGCTGCATTAACCCACAGGGGACGGAGCACAGAGGCAGCATTGATTAATTCAGCTGGGGGTTCACTCCTCTCTGGAAAAGAAACATAAATAAATAAACACAGGAAGATGTCCTCCTGTATAAGCACCCACCCTTTCAACAACACCTCTCCACTTTAATAATAAATAATAATAAAGCCCGAATAATGTAATGAAATGAATGAAAAACATATTTACAATCTTGCATAAATGGAACAGTCCGGATATTTTATGCGACCCCTCCCGATCCCAGTCCGCTCTCTCACTCCCACAGAGTGCCTGCATGGCCAGAGGGCTAAATCATTCATCATACCTTGTCTCACGCTCTGCACGGCTACTGTATCCTCACTGCTGCTACTGCACTGCAGCAAGACACGTCCTCAACGTGATTGCGAGGAAGGCTAATTGCACTGTCATGTTCCCCGGTGGAATGAAACAAACATGCACACACAGACAAACACACAAACAATAAACAGCGAGTGACTGACATCACCACACACAACCACCCCCTCCACTTGAAGCGCACACACACATAACACATGCAGCTCTCATGGGGAACCTGCCAATCATCAGACAGTGCCTTGCAGGGTTTTTATGGTGGACTAGAGGAGGAGGGTGAGGAGGAGGGTGAGGAGGGTGAAGAGCTTTCTGCTGGAGGACAAACAGCCGGCCTCGTGCACCCTGACGGTCATAAATATTCCTATATAGTTTTCATGATTTTGTGGTTGGATGTTGCTGTTCATTCTTCAGCATCACAGGATGATGGGATGCTAAAGTGCAAATATAGTTCCATGCATGCAGATAATAGTTGCCGTATGCTACATATATAATTCAGCAGGACTGAGCCACCGATTCACATGTGCTATATTCATGGGAACCGGTGTGTGTGCTGTCCGTGTCAAACAAGTCATTAAAACACAGCCAGCAGCCAGCAGTTTGAATTTGACTTAAATCAATATAAAAACACACTTATTTCTGGAAATCGGTACCAAGACAAGGACGCGCATGGAAGTCAAAGCAAAGTGATTCCCATCTGCCACTGCTTCAAAACAAGATGGGGGATGTGTGTGTGTGTGGTGGGAAGGGAGGGGAGGGGGGGTTGTCAAATGTGCATGCAGGGTGTTTGAGCAAGCTTGCAATGCACACGGTGTGTATTTTTGGTGCCTGTTCCAGAGTCCTGTGGTAAGAGCTCTGTGAAGTAGTTGAAGGGGGGGGGGTTTCTTGAGAAAAGCCACCAAACCTCGCCACAACCGTAAGAAAACATTGATGCAACAGAGGCGTCTCCTGCTGCGTAAATGTACAGTGGTGATGTGTCAGAGCCACTGAAACCTCAAGAAAAAAATAGAAAATGCCTGCGGGGGTCTCTGCGCCTCTTTACACTCCCTGACACTGCCTTTCTCTCAAAAACCTCTTATTCAGAGATGTGGAAGGTGAAGAGATTTGATTGAGATATGTAAAAACAACAAAACAAAGAGGAAAACAACGCGCTGCCCAGAATAAAAATGAGACAAATGGCCAGTTTCTGAAGCTTGCTGTCAGTCAGAAACAACACTTTACATCTGCTGTCAGTCAACCAAATACAATAACATTCACAGGGATATGTGTGCACAGGGGGCCCATTACCTTCAGTGAACATATCACCCTGGGTAAAATGCAAATCACTCTGAGGCATACAAAAAGAGGAGCTACTGTATTTGAATATGTTCAATTATTCTCTGCTGGCCTCCTTCTGTCAGCAGTGGTAGTCTTCTACTTGCCTTTCACCCAGTTTACATGCCAAACAGACTCCTGTGGCGCAGCGGCCCCACCT